ACAGCTCTCTTCCTCACTTTTTGAAGTCATCCAAGAGGAGGGAGGGAAGCGACACACTTTCTCAATCGCATTAAAACATGGCGTCAGGCAGCTCCCATCTTGTTGCACGCTATAGATTACACTTTGGTTTGAAGTGGAGTTTTAAGTGGGACACCGTGATTCTGGGTTTCTCTGTTTTTTTTAGGTTAAGTTCCTAATTCAGCTCAAAATCATCAGAAACACGAGCTGATCAAAGTATAGACACATAGACATGAAGGCTGTGAACTGAACCTCGACACAAAACTACAAACGAACGTCTTCATTTCTACGTTTAGCGACTAATTAAAACAAACTACCTTTAGAGGCGTTGTTGCTCTCGTAGCTCCACAGCAGACTTGAGGAGAAGCTGCTGCCTGTGAAACATTTGAATCTGTGCACAGAAAGCATGACTGAGACGGTTTACCATGTGGACACCTGCTCGTGTTCAGGCGGCTGTGATTCAGCAGCTCCATCCATCAAGAGGTCCAACCTTCAGACGAGCTCTCTGTCTTGACCTCACGGTGTGGGTTGGACGTTGAGCTCATTCACACTGATGCTGACGGATGTAATTGGTTTTGTGATATCAAGAACTGGCTGGTTGGGTGTGTAATCACTGAGCAGTGGGTGCGTCGTGTGTGTCTGCGTGTTTGATGTATGTTTATCTGTGTATGCCTGCTTGTGTGTGCCCGTGATGCATTATTTCTGTACTGTGTGATGCAGCACTGACAGTGAGCAGCAGGGATGAAGAGAATCACTACTGACAGGCAGTGATGGCAAACTGTGAAATGGAAATAAAGCCTCTTGTCATTACACCACCAACTCTCTCGCTCGCACACATGATACACAGGCGAGCACAGCAAGACAGCAATGATTACAGACAAACGAGCAAATAACATCTCCCAGCTCTCCCTCGCTGGCACATTGAACTCAAATTGTTATGAGAGACATGCGTGGTGAACAGAGAATCGCTTTGAATGCTTACAAATGCTGCTGCCACTAAAACTGAAGGCTTTGTGGAGCAATAAAGAAGAGCTTCTCTTTGCTCCCCAGCATGCAGCATGTTGTGTTCAGGGTGAAACTACCAGTAACCGTTCAAAGAGCATGTTTGGTGACTCATGGTGGCGTTAAAAACGTCCCTCCTTTAAGCTAATTACCTGTCAGCTGGGAGTGTGTCCTCGCTGTGTGTCCACTGATGTCATCCTTACGTCAGCAGGTTTTGAGTGTAGTTTTATGTCTTTTGTCAGAGTTCAGCTTTAGGACGATGCTGAAAACCATAATTGCTCTTTAGCAATGTGAGATGATTGGAAACACATCGGAGAAAAATGCCATATGGAAGCAATATCCTGTTCAGGACCGATCCTGAAAATCCCTCGTTTTCTTTCTACCACTGCAAACAGACACACTTGCAGAAGTTGTCGTGTTCGGGCCGTTTTGTTGAGAAATGTTTAGTTTCTTCCACCTTTTAGCAACAATTCAGGACGAACAATGAGTCTGCACACCTTGAGCAAACCTCCTTTCCCAGCAGCTATGGATCAAACTGTGGATGTGTTTGGCCTGCTTGCATCCTGTTTGTCCGTTATCTCTGTTTGAATAAGTGTGACCTGAGACTCCAAGTGGGTGAGAGAAAGTTGTCACCCTGCCTTCTGCCACTCCCGTCAGTCCTTTTTATAGTGTGTGTGTGTGTGTGTGTGTGTGTGTGTGTTTGGCCTGGTTCCCACTGCAGATTATTAATTAAGTTCTGGTAAGCGGTGCATGCCTCGCCTTCAGATCTACTTCCACTCTCTTTAACACACACAAGTATCCGTACACACACACAAACACACACACTTCAAAGCAGGTACACTCCACACCGCTAGGATTAAGAGGCGATTGAAGAGCCTGATACAGCCTCAAAGTGCCTTCAGCACAAAAATGCCTTTGGCAGGGCACAGGTAGTCTCTTTGAAACCTCTTACACACTCACACAGACGTACACATATGGCTGGGCTTTTAATTTAGCTCTGTTTTTTCCTTTGTGTTTGTCACAGTCCAGTTGGGCTATTTTTCCTTGCTTGTACCATCCTGTGTCTTCATCTGCTTCCAGCCAGTTTTAATGTGTGTTTAGACGGCTGAGCTGTATAATGTATGATGCTGTGTAACGCTTCCTGCTCAATCCCCCTGAGTGACTATAGGTAAAAGGAATAGGCTAGTAGCAAGCTCTTTATGCTTTTATGAAACATCTGAGCCGGTTTGCATGTCAACATGGCCATATGTTTCCATGAATGCATTCACATGTGTCATATACAGTACGGTGCACACCTCATTAACTCACAACCAATTACAGAGGTGAAGCTGACGTATGACTGTCACATAAACATGTTCACTGTGGAGCCACGTCCGTGTCTCTTTCTTTTGCTAGCTGATCACACTGTATTTGTTTAGCCCATTTTATGCACACAGGAATGCATCACAAAGTGCTCAACTCATAAAAATGCAACGAACAATGCAAGCGACCCCCCACAGCCACGGGATCAGTAACGGACTCAAGGACTGAGCAACTGAGGAAACGCTAGCCTATAAAACACGTGACACCAGATGAGATCAAATGAAATAAAATAAGCTATATAAATAAATAAAATGAAATACCTATTATTAAAATAGATATAAAAAATAGAATTAAAAAATATATTTAAAAACTGAATAAGAAATGACAAAAATGAGGTAATAATCTGTACATTAAATAGACCAAAATATATACATAGGTGAATAAATAGAGAGGATTCAAGGATTCAAGGCCTTTATTGGTCACAAACACAATTATACACAATACAACACACAGCCAGATGGATAGATAGATAGATAGATAGATAGATAGATAGATAGATAGATAGATAGATAGATAGATAGATAGATAGATAGATAGATAGATAGATAGA